TTTTTTTTTTGCAGATTGACAGCAGAATTACTCCGCCTCCTTTGTGTGGAATCACAAGTCAAGGAACAAATCAAGTTGTATGAAGGAGTGCCTATTTTGCTTAGTCTGCTCCATTCTGATGATCTAAAACTACTCTGGAGTACAGTTTGGATTCTTGTACAGATTTGCGAAGATCCTGATACCAGTGTTGAAATTCGAATTTGGGGTGGAATCAAACAACTCCTTCATATTTTGCAAGGGTAGGGTTCTGAATGTATCTATAGTAACAGCAGAGAGAATGTGTATACTCACATACAAACTTCCAAGCTACTTTTTCCTCAATGAATTCAGTTTGATTTCATGTGAAAATCAATTCCTATTAACATACGTTTGTCTTTGAATGATATTGTTTTATAGAAATGCAGACATAAATTTCATGAAGTATCTATATAGCAATTTCTTTAGGGGGAAGAGATTAATGAACCAGAATTTATTAAATAAATCTGTATAGAATATTCATTACTTATACAAACCAACAGGAGGCAATATCTGACCAGATTTAATCCTATATTGGGACTTGCCATACATATATAACTACCGTATTTGCCGGCGTATAAGACGACTGGGCGTATAAGACGAGCCCCCAACATTTCCACTCAAAATATAGAGTTTGTTATATACTCGCCGTATAAGACGACCCCCCCACTTGGAGGCATGTTTTTCAGGGCAAAAAAGTCATACGCCGGCAAATACGGTAAGTTGTAACACTTGGGGTATTCTGGATATAATTCTTGATTGACACCCCCGCCCCTTTCCCCCAAACTTACAAAGCCACCAAAATGCTTTAGAGAGGCAGCTTCGCCTTTCTCAGGCTGGCACTCAATTCCTCTCCCTTTCTTTGTGACACCGTTGAGCGATCTGCTTTTTTCAGGGGAAAATAAATAAATAAAAATAAAACTGGACGAAAAACAGTCGAGTTGTTTCTTAATATCTTTCCACCTCCCCAACCAATTTGTCTCCAAGGGTGCACCACACTGATTGCGACATTAATTATTTCAGAGAGAGGGGTTGGGGGGGGGGAGAAATCTTTGCTTCCTACTGTGGCTTTTTCCTGCGCATCGTTTTTTCCCTTGGCTTTGTGGTTGTTACTTCTTACAGGGAGGGATAATGAAATACCCACGCTGGGAGAAAGCGGAAAGGATGTCTATTTTCCTGCTCACTAACTTTCCAGAAAGCGTCGAGTTCCTACCCCGAGACTTGCCAAAAGTCCAGTTCATTCATTTGCTACCTTTCTCCAATGAGATCCAGATCTGTTTCCACAACGCGCTTAGGATCTTATCTTATTATCTTATTATTATCTTATTAGCCTTGCTCGGTCCATCCAAGAGAGAAGAAGGCAGACGGTTTTGCGCTCAGGGAAAAAGGAAAAGAGCCTCTCGCTCACGCTGCACACTGCCCCCCCCCCACCCCAGCAACGCTTAGGAAAAGAATTACACAAGCATCCTTTCCAGAAGTGAATCGGGGGGGGGGGAGGATTCGGAGCAAAGGCTGAAACCGGGAAGAGAAAAATTCCCAAAGAAAATCGCACGAGCAGCATCCCATTCCTGGGAGAAAAACAAAAAAACAAAAAACACAAACTCTTCCCGAAGCACAAAAGCAAGGATGGCGCTTTCTCAGCTTTGAGCTGCGTCGCTGCTCTCCCACCCCCTCCACTCGTCCCCACGTGCGGTGAAGTTTCTGCCACTGGGGTGGTGGTGGAGGGGGATGGAAGGAGGTGAGGGATGGGGGCAAAGCCTGGAGCCTGCCTGTCCGCTCGCACGAGCGGAGTGGGTGGGTGGGTGGGTGGGGGAGGAGAAGAGAGACTCCGGCTGGGCTTGAAGGGGCTTCGCAAGTTGCGGAGCTCCGCCTCCGTCGCTCTTGCACCGAGTGACAACAACGTATTTGCCGGCGTATAAGACGACCTTTGTTATATACTCGCCGTATAAGACGACCCCCCCACTTGGAGGCATGTTTTTCAGGGCAAAAAAGTCGTCTTATACGCCGGCAAATACGGTAAATCTTTTCTATAGAGTTCAACTCCCTTTTTCTTTAGAATTGCTGTTTTTAACTCAGGATGTCTGTTTCAGAGAGCCCTACAGTCCCATGGAATCCATGTTTAGTCTTGCTTTGGAGAAGGATTTTTAGGACAATTCCCATGGTAAATTAAGCTATTTGTCTTGTGTGCTGCTCCTGCCCATTTCTGGAGTTAACTTTAAAAATTCCAGATTGTGATGCGTTGGCAAGAGATCCATATTGGTGCTCAGCCCATAATACAGCCACTCCAGGCTCTGATTGTCCATTCTTCTGTTTCTTGCCTTTCCGAATCATGCAGGGATGACAAACCTTCTTAGCAGCCCTCTCTGACCCTAACAGACCCTATGAACTTTCATACTGACTAGGGACTTGAACCATGGTCTTGCCAGTATTAATTCAATACCTTAACCACTACATCATACTGACTCATAATGTGCAAGGATGCACAGAACATAAGCATTCATGATTCTAATTGTTGATAAGCTTAGAGATAAATGCAGATTGTTTCTTGTATTTTTTCTAGGGAACGAAGTCTGTTTTTGGATTGTTCTTCTATTGGGAGTTTATCTAGTGCAAACATAGCTGGGAGAATCCAGCAGCTTCATTTATCAGAAGAGTTAAACCCTCATGAAATACAAGAAAATACATTTTCTCTTCAAGCAGGTACAGTAGTCCTACGATGATTTATATGAATCAGGGTGGGTGCTGGGGGTTCGCAGGGGTTTAGGAAAGCCCCTAGTTAAGATTCTGTGCAGTTCGGAGAACCCCCAAATCCCACTCCAGGCTGACCCCTCCCAGGAATCCTGATGCGGCCCGTTTTGGATGGAGGTAAGTGCAGTGTGCATGCTGAGGCTCGAGGAGGGTGAAAAACGGGCCTCCTGGAAATTCAGGAAGGCTGGAAATGGGCCTGTTTCCGGCTTTCAGAGAGCTTCCAGAGCCCGGGGAGGCCATTTTCGCCCTCCTGAAGGCTCGAGGAAAGCCTCCAAAGCCTGGGGAGGGCAAAAAGCCCCCTCCACCGTGGTGCAGGAGGCTGACTAGGCCACGCCCACCATGGCCACGTCTACCCAGCAAGCGGACAGAAAACCCCTTGTTAAAATTTTTGAAGCTCACCCCTGATATGGATGAAGTTATTTGTGCCTAAACAATGCATTAAATGGTAATCAAAGACTGATGGATCAATTAAATAATAAATTCAGTAGCTTCTGTTACAGATATACATATGCTGACTGTCCTATATAGCAAGGTAGGTATGGAGTCATAGACATTTTATTTTCCTCAGTCTGTAGTGTTCCCCAGATTACATAAAGTGTTAAATGTAAAAGGATTAGCGAATTAATTTAAAATATTATTTTAAAACTCAAAAAGCACACAACTGATGAATACTTTCATGTATAGGAGCAGGGTAAGGTAATTTTTTGGTGATTTATTTTAGCCTGTTGTGCTGCAGTTACTGAACTGGTCCTTAATGACACCAATGCCCATCAAGTAGTACAGGTGAGAAGTCTTTAAATACCTTTGAGGTTAAACTTTTTATTTGTACTTATATAATACACTTTTTTTGAATAGAAATAGTATGGATTAAAAATATGCTGCTGTGCACTCATATAAGGACTGGAGGGCCTATTTGCCACTTAATCATTTTATAATCAAAGCACTGCGGATAATTTGAATTACAGAAGGCATGCTATTGATATCTGCCTCAGCATAGCTGCCTCAGCATGGCTAACTGTTATATAGAGAACAAGAATGTATCTTAAAGAGTAAATGTGTCAACTAAAGCCTGTTTAACTTGAAGGTCATGCTGCAAAATGAAAAGTATCTGTCTTTGCTGATAATTTTGCAATAGACAATAAATTCCTCATGTGAATCTGACAGACTATTAGAAATTTTTTATTACTAAACGTTTGATTGTTCTCTGAAATATTCTTCCATATATACTTTTTAGGAGAATGGAGTATATACAATAGCAAAGCTGCTTTTACCTAATAAGCAAAGGAATATAGCAAAGGCTAATTTATTACAGGTAATCCTTTTTATTTTATGAATTTTCACTGAAAATATTTGAAACAAGTTTTGAAACAGAAATAATGTAGTTTATTATGAATTTATTCGTTGCCTTTTGAATAAAGAGCAAGATAATTAAGAAAAATGCCTCCCTCCTTAATAAGAATATATCAGACTAGAAAAGCCAACACATTGCTAATAGTTTCATAAGCCATTCTCTTCTAGTATTACAATGTTTTACTCTATTAATGTAAAAAATGTTCAGGCTTTTAGCTTGTTACTGGCATTGAATCTTTAGACAAGAGAAATCAAAAGTGGCTTTCAATCCTGTATGGAATTATTTCTATGTATTTTTCTCATCTAGTGTTATGCATTCAGAGCCCTGAGATTTCTTTTTAGTATGGAAAGAAATCGACATCTTTTTAAAAGGTATGCTGAATACACGTTATATTCCAAGATTATTTTCCTTTGAATAAATTTGTGTATATAAGATACTATATCTTACGTTTATTGTATGTATGAATATATGCATGTATGGATTTATCTGTCAAACTTTGCTTAAAACACTGATTTCCAATAAAAATCTGTTTCCAAACACTATGTAATCTATAAATGGAATAAAATTGCACAATATATTCATATTTTAATAACAGAAGACTTTTGAAGGCACTGGAACTTCATGACATCTCTGTGCTATAAGTGGTTCAGATGTAAATCCTGAATCATTCCTGTTGTCCAAGCTACATATCTGTGATTATACATTATTGACTGGGGATGACATGTCACAAGAAATGACTTAACACTGTTTCTGTGGGAATTGTTCAAAAAACAATAAGTATATGCATATGAAGTGTTTCTCCAATCTTAATTCAGAAAAAGAAATCCATGCTCCAATAATGTGGCTTTGGAAGCACTAATATTCAAAATTCATATATTATAATAATAATTCAAAACTATATTTTATTTTGCTTGTAAGTAGATTTTTTAGAGATCTCATATTCAGTGGTATAGAAGAGATATTGGCAACTTTTTTCCTTATTCAACAATCCATAGCAAATTTCTGAGCTTATATACATGGAGGGATCAAGTGAAGGAATCGGGCTAGCATACTTTAATTTTGCTTTATTTTGGATAGAGCAGATCTGCTGCAGAATTTCTTAAAAATTAAACAGGACTTACATAAGAGTTATTACATTTGATGAGATTTATTACAAAATATGAATTGATAAAATTGATTTTGTTGAGCTCAGCAAAATCACTATTGCACTTTCTTCTTTTGCACTGTCTGTTTCCTTTGCTTTTGTCTCCTTCAGGTTTTGTTCTTCTCTTTCCTTAAAAATGCTACTCTATCTTCTGCCACATATCCCCTTTCCTAATTCACCATTTTTTGCCAGCCATGTATATCTAATTTGAGAAAAAATTATAAATTATATATGCAGTTGCAGATAAATTAATTTTACAAAAAGGGGACTTATTTTACTGGTAATTATTTTATTTATTTATATGTTTGTTTGTCAAACATGTGCAAGATAACAAGTATAAGTATGAACATAAACAAGAACAAAGGAAGTAAATACGGATAAATGGGGACAGTAAGACAGGGGCGGTAGGCATGCTGATGCGCTTATGCACGCCCCCTTTAAGGACTTCTTTGGAATGAGGCGAGGTCCATGGTAGACAATTTGAGGTTGAAGCTGTGTGGGGTTGAGGCTGTAACAATGGAGTTGGGTAGAGCATTCCGGACGTTGACCACTCTGTTGCTGAAGTCGTATATTCTGCAATCAAGTTTGGAGCAGTTTACCTTGAGTTTGTATTGGTTGTTTGCCTGTGTATTATTGTGATTGAGGCTGAAGAAGTCATTGACAGGTAAGAGATTGCAACAGACAATTTTGTGTACTATGCTTAGATCAGACCACAGGTGGCACAGTTCTAGATTGTCCAGGTCCAAAATTTCGAGCCTGGAGGCCTAGGGAATTCTATTTGTGAGTGGAGGAGTGGAGTACATTTCTCAAGAAATACCTCTGAACCCACTCAGTTGTGTTAATGTCCGATATAAAGTGCGGGTTCCAGGTGGATGAGCTGTATTCAAGAATTGGTCTGGCAAAGGTTTTGTATGCCCTAGGTCCAATGTTGCCGGAGAAGAAGCTTAACAAAATAAGGTTAACAACTCTTAAAGCCTTTTTGGCAATGCTATTACAGTGAGCTCCGGGGCTTAAATCATTTGAAATAAGTACTCCTAGGTCCTTGACAGAATGAGGGTCATCTACAAGATTGTTTCCTCCTAACTTGTATTTGGTGTTCTGATTTGTTTTGCCAATGTGTAGGACAGAGCATTTGTTAGTTGAAATTTGGAGTTGCCAATTGCGCGACCATTCTGACACATAGTCCAGGTCGCTTTGTAGCATTGTCGGTGGTGTTGAATAATTTTATGGCATTGACAAAGAGGATGCAGCTGTTTTTAATGTTGTCACATAGGTCATTGATGTAAAGCAGAAAGAGTGTGGGTCCTAATACACTGCCTTGGGGGATACCGCTATTAACTGGTGCTGGGTTTGATAGGACCTTCCTTATTTTGACCATTTGTTGCCTGTTTGACAGAAACGTGTGCAGGGGTCCGGAGATGCTGTAAGAACTAAGTTTCAGTAGTAGTTTGTCATGCACCACTGAATCAAAGGCTTTGCAAAATCTATGAAAACTGCATCTATTGCTTTACCCTTGTCTAGATGTGTGATCCAAATGTTTCTGCAGTGTAGGAGTTGTAGATTACAAGACAATTTTTTCCTGAAACCAAACTGCTTGTTAGAAAGTAGGTTGATTTATAGTCTTTTTAAAGAATAAGTTGAGACAGGCATTCACAAATGATCAATGTTTTTTTTAGAGAATTTTTATTTTTAAAAACAAACACACACATACAAAACATAAAAGCATCGTCCATTTTATATACATACAGTGTGTCAGTTGGTTACAAATCTTTTGTGCTATTCTTTTGTAGTCATTTACTCACAATTTATATCAATTTTCACATTGTCGAACTAACATATGCTTGTATATTTATCAGTTATTAATCATCCATGACTAAACTATTTATTCCATCATTTTATACGAGATGTTCCAAGTTTTATCTTAAAATTTATGTTATACTTTCAACCAATGGTTATATATGTCTAAATGATGTCTTATATCAATCCATTAAAATTCTATCACAAAATTATCTATTCTGTAACATTACCATGTCTTTTTATACAACCATTGATAAAACAAATCCCATATCATATAAAATTATTTATCTTCTTGTTCTCTGATTTCAAATGTCAATTTACTCATTTCAGCACAGTCCATAATTTTCTTAATAACTTCCTCCTGCATAGGCATTTTATCATTTTTCCAATTCTTAGCAAATACCATTCTAGCCGCTGTTACTGCATTTAAAATCAAATATTTCAGCTCTTTATTGTATATTTTCAGTATAATTCACAATAAAAAGATCTCTGATTTAAAGTCTATATGTTGTTTTATCATTTTTTCCAACCATGTGTGGATTTTAGTCCAATATTTCTTTGCGTCCGAGCATGTCCAGCACATATGAACCAGGTATCTGATGACACTTCCAACATTTATCCGATTTATTCTTAAACATTCTCGCAAGTCTCGTCGGGGTAGATGCCACCTGTAAAACATCTTATACAAATTTTCTTTATATGCAGTTGACATTGTCATTTTATAATTTTGAGACCACAATGTTTGCCATTTTTCTAAATCAATCCCATATCCAAAATTTTCCCCCCAAAACAATCATTGTTTCTTTAACTTGTTCCTCCTCCAGTTTAAATTGTAATAAGTATCCATAAAGTTTTTTAATTACCTTTTCATCAGTACCCATCAAAATCTTATCTAAGTCAGTCAACTTATCATAAATACCTTCTTCTTTAACATCTTTGTCAAATCTAGATTGTATTTGCAAATATGAAAACCAATTCATTTTTACACCTTGTTCTTCCAATGCTTGCATAGATTTAAGTTCACCCTTTTCATTCAATATCTCACCATATCTAACTGTTTGTTCCTTTTTATATATTATTGGATAAGAAAAAGTTTCAATGGTAGATATCCATAGTGGAATTTTTAAATAATATTGTCTTTTTATCTTCTCCCAATTCAAAAACAATGCCTCTCGAATATAATGTCTTCTAAAATACCTCTGTGTTTTAGTTCCCTTGTACCAAAGGAAGGCATCCCATCCCAACAGCAAGTCATGCCCTTCTAAGGTCAATAGTCTATTGTTCCTTAATGTTGTCCATTCCTTTACCCACATCAAATCTGTTGCTTGGTAATACAACTCCCAGTTAGGCAAGGCAAACCCTCCTCTTATCCTTGCATCTTGTAACAGTTTTAGTTTTATTCTTGCTTTTTTCCCTGCCAAATATATTTCAAAACAATTCTATTTAAATCTTCAAAAAACTCCTTCCCTATTTGGTTTGGAATTGTCTGGAATAAATATAAAATTCTAGGCAATACATTCATCTTAATTGTAGATATTCTCCTAATCAATGATAATTGTAAGTTTTATGAAATCTGTCGCAATCTGCTGTTTGAGTTTAAAATAATACTCCTTCAGTGTACTACGTCTTGATGTAATGCATATCCCTAAATACTTAGCCTTATTTGTGACCTGTATTTCTAAAACTTCTTCCAATTCTTTCTTTCGTCTTACTAGCATATTCTTTGTTAGTATCTTTGTTTATTTTCAAACCTGCTACTTTTCCATATTTTTCTATTTTTTCTATTAATTTAGGTGCTGTTTCCAATGGGTCTTCTGATATAAATACCAGGTCATCTGCAAAAGCTTGCAATTTATACTCTTCCTTTGGGGTTTTCATTCCTTTTATTTCTTTATCTTCTCTAATATTCTTATTCAACACTTTCAATGTTAACACAAACAGCAGGGGCGACAGTGGACAACCTTGCCTTGTCCCTTTTCTTATATCTATAGATTCTGTTAGTTCTCCATTTACCATAACTTTTGCAGTTTGTTCATAATACATCATTTCAATTGCTTGAATGAATTTTTTTTACCAAAGCCCATATGTTCCAATTGCAATAACATAAATTGCCAACTCACATTGTCGAAGGCTTTTTCTGAGTCTAAAAACATCAAAGCCATTTGCTTCTCAGGATGTGCCTCATAGTATTCCAAAGTGTCTTTTTGTCTCTTTGGCAAAAATCCATTTTGATCAATATGGATAAAGTTATTTAAGTATCTCTTTAGTCTTTCTGCCAAGATTGAACCAAAGATTTTATAGTCTGAATTTAATAGGGGTATAGGTCTGTAATTTTGAACTTGCTGCAGGTCTGTATCCTCCTTCGGTATAAGTGTAATGTATGCTTCTGTCCATGTTTTGGGTATTTTTTTCTTTAACATAACTTCGTTC